CTATCAAGAATAAATTAATAACGCCCTGGGATTGCATCCAGCTAAGTTGACGTCTTCAGCAAAGTAACTGAAGACATCAACGTATTTATCATATTCAATTAACTGAGATATAGGGGTTTGTTTTATTTAGATTATCTCAAATATATCTCAATATATCTCTGAGATATTTTGTGGTATTATAGTTAATTTGGTGGTGTTTGGTCACGTGGTGCATGGACAGCTATAAGCGACTACCTCAGCTCTGATTTCTGTTTGCATTACGAATATGGCCGAAGTGACTGTGAAATAGCTACATATAATGCAGCTTAAAATATGATCAACGGAAACGGGGAAATGGCTCTAATGTTGGCCTATGGATCTAAGATTGGGTACATCACTAAAAATGTGCTATTTATCTTTTTTTTATCTACACAGTATTAATGGATATTTTTGGTCGCTATTGAAAATTTAGTTGATTGCTGAATTTATGTATGGGCCCAAATTAGGGGCATTTAGGCCGACATTACATACATTTCCCCTGCCTATTGAAAGAAGGGGATCTGCAACACTGTTCTAAATCGTACTGCTTACCGTAAACTATACAGTAGTCAACAAGTTCATTTTTGAAACCCTTAAGAAGCGTACCTTTCCCGAGAGACGATTCAACCTAATTATTGGACGAATCAAGCCCTTCAGCATCTAACACTAACTTGCAGATCCAAAGAACAGAGTTCGTCTGAAAGGAAGATTCAGTTTCAAAAGTAATTAAATAATATGTGGTACCATAAAAGATTTCAGTAGAATATGTGGTACCATAAAAGATTTCAATAGGATTAACATGGCTCTAATCTTAAAGGAATCGTCCTTAATTTAAGATAATTTAGACATAATTTAGAAATTATTTATTTATTTATTTATTTATTTATTTGTAGTTTGTTACAGTCAACAGGTTAAAATACCCAAATGACAATTAAAACTTAGAACTATCGCACTATTGCTACTGTGACATAAATCTCAAGAAATTCTGCCTATTGGACGCACGTGAAAAACTAAAGTCAAATACATGTTGACAATGATTGAACACACGGCACATGCTACGAACTGGCTCATTCAAACCATAATTTGTCCTGGAAGTATCGATGAACAAAAAGGCGTGTGTACGTAGCTGACGTCTCCTAATGTTTATGTTTAGCTGTGTAAGTAGCGAAGGGCAGTCGATGAGAGACGTTAACAGATCACTGACAAAGCAAGCTTTTGCAACATCACGTCTAACACTGAGTAGGTCCAGATGAATGAGTTTGCAACGACTCTCGTAACTAGGAAGATCCAGACGGTCAGTCCAGGGAAGGTGTCGTAGAGCATAACGGATGAATTTCCGTTGAATCTTCTCAACGCGTTGAATTCCATTTTGGTAGTATGGACTCCAAACAACGGAGGAGTATTCAAGTATGGGTCGCACCAAGCTGCAGTACAAGGCCTTTAAGCAGTATACATCTTTGAAGTGCTTGGCAAAGCGAAATATGAAGCCTAGCTGGGAAGATGCTTTCGAGATGATGTATGTCAGATGAGCGTTAAACGTTAGCTTCGAGTCCAAAAGCACTCCCAGGTCTTTAACCAAGGATTCTCGTGCTAGAGACACTCCGGACAAGCTGTAGTTATGGATGAGCGGTGAACGTTTGCGAGTGAAGGAAATCACTGAGCACTTGGATGTGTTTAATACCATACGATTTCTTCTGCACCAATCAGCAAACGTTTCGAACTGATGTTGTAAGAACTCGGCATCGTCTAGTTTCTCGATGATCGCATAAATCTTGAAGTCGTCTGCATAGGATTTCTTGTGACACCTTAGAACTGAGTTGACGTCGTTCATAAACAACAAAAACAGAAATGGCCCCAGATGACTTCCTTGCGGTACACCGGATGTAACAGGAAACGAAGTTGAAAACTGGTTGCCGAGCCGTACACGCATGTTACGCCCCATCAGATATGAACGTAGCCATTTGAGTAGCCTAGCATCAGCGCCTAATTTATCATACTTGGCCAGAGCGATTTCGTGGTTCATCTTGTCAAAAGCTGCTGACAAATCCATGTAGATTGCGTCAATTTGGCAGCCACGCTCTATCGAGCGAGCAAGAAATGAAGTGAACGTGGTTAAGTTTGTGGTAGTAGAGCGCTTGGGCATAAAGCCGTGTTGATCTTCCGAGATGTAGTGCGAGCAGCCGTGTGAAAGGAAGTCCAGAACAATCAGCTCGAAGAGTTTTGAGGTTGCACATAGAGCGGCTATGCCACGGTAGTTTGAAACTGTTTGCTTACAACCTTTCTTATGTACAGGAAACACGTACGATTCCTTCCAAATAGTCGGGAACACGCCTGATTCCAATGAGAGGTTGAACACAGTAGCGAGAGGTGCTGAAAGAGAGTGGATGCATTTATTCAGCACTATAGACGGGATACCGTCTGGGCCGACTCCGGTAGTATTTTTCAATCGTCTGCTAGCGGAAAGCACCGTGTCACTTGATATCGGAGGAAGTTCACCAAGCGGAGGAAGTACAGGCACATTACTCACGGCATCAACAATATCCTGCGGGCTAGTTGGGTCATTGCAAAAAACTCCGCTAAATTGTTTCCTAAACAAGTCAGCGATGTCGTCAAGGGCAGAAGCTTCTGTGTCACCATTACGCATAGTTGAGGGAAGTCCCACTTCTTTCCGCTGGCCATCTACGTATTTCCAAAAGCTTTTAGGATTGAGTTTGAGACTTCGCTGCAACCTCTCTTGATAAGAATTGAATAGGCGTTTGTTAAGGATCTTGTAGCGTTTGTTTGCTTTGGTGTAGCGTGCTCTGTTTCTTGCGGTTCGGTGTCGAATGAACTTCCTTAAGGCACGCCTTTTAGCCGTTTTGAGACGTTTCAAGCGTGTGTTGCTCCAGATTGGGAAAGCCTTCTCAGGGTTGGTCTTTGTCGGCACGTACTGGTCAATAGCGTAGAATACGATGTTCGAAAGGGTCGACGCCGCCAAATCGGTGTCACAATCACGAAACGTAGTGTTCCAGTCTATACTCGATAGGAAAAGATTCATGCCATCGAAATCAGCTTTGTTGAAATCCAAAAGCACCTCTTCGGTAGTATCCTGAAACTGGCAATTAGTGCAGTTGTTCAGAGACAGCAGTAGAGCTGGATGATGCATGCAGTCTTTGACTAGAGGATGAGGAGCTTGTGTTACAGAGCAATTGGGTCGGAGGTCTTCACTGACAAATGCGAGGTCTAACATGCGGTTGTTGCTATTAGGTACCACATTTATCTGCTGCAGGTTAGCGGTGCTGTATCCATCCAGAAGACATGTGGTTGTTCGTCCAAAATTCAAATAACGGCAATCGGGGTACGAAAATCCATTCGAATCGACTCGCCAGCTGATTTCACGCAGATTGAAGTCGCCGAGGATGAGAATATTGTCTCTAGCGTCCATACGTGAGACGACCCAATCAATCGCGCAAAGATGTTTGTCGATAAGTTCATCATCGTTGATGCGGTCCGGAGGGAAGTAAACGACACAGACGAAAATGCACATGCCCTCGAACGATAGTTGCACCCACACTTGCTCGATTTCAGATGTGCTGGGTGGATACAGCTGGTGACTTTTCAAGCTGGAGCGAACCGCTAGCAGAACACCTCCACCAGTACGCTTATGGCTGTTGAGCGGGGAACGGTCTTGACGGTAGACGGTAAACGAGTCGTCAAAAATCTGCCGAGAGGTTGTGCTACTATTCAGCCAAGTTTCGGTGAAGGCATACCAGTCGTAGCAGGCATCAGAACAGGCAAGCTGATAGTCTACTATGGAGGTGTTGATGCCACCGACGTTCTGGTGAGAAATGCAATCTATTTTGAATAACAGTTTACTAAAATAATTGTTCTAGGTGAAGGAAGGCTGAGCGGTGAAAGGCGATCGTTACAAAGCACAGTTGAAATTTGAGTTTTGTCGGTCAAATCGACAGTGAGCATGCATAAAGGCGTAAACGCGATGATCGATTCTCTTCATCGATTTTATCCTTGCATTGCTACAGTTAAGCGAAACAATTTTCTAGAATTTGTTCAATGCAGAGTTGTAACAGGTTGTATTGGCTATTAAAAGCAACAGCAAACGCACCGATAAACGTTAATTCTAGCGAGTTAATAACAAAAGAGAAAATCAACGAAGAGAATCAATCATCGCGTTTACGCCCTTATGCATGCTCACTGTCGAAATGACCAATTTACTATTGATTAAATTGAATTTAGTTTGATTGTCTAAACATTCTTCCCTTAAACAAGTGTTGCACAGATGTCTTGACGATTCATAGTGGTGTATCATGTGCTACTTAAAATTTTGTAAATATCATTCCAATTTCATAGAGTCTCATAGTATTCAGTTACAACAGTAACGTTCACCACTTTTGTATTTTATCCCCATTTGCATTCACTTCGGTTTTGTCTCTGCCAGTATGCGGAATGATTAGAGCATAACATTATGGGCCACCGACGGTGCTAAATCTTAGAACGTGTTTAAATTTACAGTTCCCTTTCACATAAGAATCAGATCTACAGCATCGAAGATGTGTCACCTCGCATCGGTGGCATAGACAGACACTCCTAAGAGGCTCAACCCCTACCCATATGTTTCAACTCATCCGTTCGGGCGAGGCCAAACAACCCGCACACTAAATTTTCCATCCAAATCCTCCGAAATCGAGACGGGTAATGAGGCGTCTCGTAATGTTTACGTGTTTATTGTCGCTGCCGTTATTCCGGTTAATTTCTCCCCTCACGCCGTAAACTGAAAATCCTAGCCGGGTGATAGTCAATTTGTTGTTGTGTATTTCATTAATGTTTTATGTCCCACTCATGTGTGTGATGCGTCAACTGGCGGAGGTCCACATAGGCAATGAATTTGAACTCCTTTTCCCGCAATCATAACCCTTGTGCCTCTAGTTTCCCTATTGACGATGAAGAATTTATTACAACTTTCTCCCTATTCTATCTAATTCCAGGCGGAAGCCCGGTTGGCAGCGCGACGGCAAGCACGTGCGGAGGCACGCGAGATTCGAATGCGCGAGCTGGAGCGGCAACAGAAGGAGCTGGAACAAAATGCCGACCGTGTCTTTGACCTGCAGCAACAATCCTCCGGATTATCCTCTCTGGGGGATACTTCGTTGGGAACTCGATCTTCGGTCACCCGCCTTACGGTCAACAATACGGTTCGGGGTAGTTCACTTTCCTCCCGGAGAAGTAGTGAAGATTCGCTCGAAGAGGAGGGACGAAGTCTCAGAGATCTCCGGCATGAACTGAAGGTATGTGATCGTTTTTTCTTCTTCTTTCTAACACAGTCGATTGCAATTAACTAACTATTCCTACTAGGATGTGGAAGACCGTTTCCGCAAGGCGATGGTCGCCAACGCTCAGCTGGACAATGAACGTGCCTCCCAGAACTATCAGATCCAGCTGCTGAAAGACAAGCTAGAAGAGATGGAAGAATCGCACGCACAGCTGCAGCGGGAGTTCAAGGAAAAATCACGGGATCACGATGCCTTAAAACGAGCCAATGACAAACTGTCCGAAGAACTGAAGCTTGTCCATGGACAACTGAACGAACGGGACACGCTCATCGAAGAACAAGGCCTGGTGATCGTGACGGTCGAGAACGAAGACGGTACCGATGCACGGCGCGCACTAGTCACAGCAGAGAATGCACAACTCCTAAAGTCCGCACAGGGTTCCTTAGGTAAGTTGATTGGAACAGTTCCGTTGGATCTGGATCATTCATTGAACTATGATTGTCTTTCAGATGTAAGACTTAAGAAATTCGCAGAAGAGAAGCAGGAACTTCACAACGAAGTTCAAACGTTACAGCAGCAGTTGAAAGACATCAAAAGCAAGGGCAGGAAGTACAGTTCCGTCAACGGAGCCCTGGATGATGACGATTATGAAGACGCACAAAGTATGAGCCAATGTGCACGTTCAGAAGTTAAAATTGGTGTCTTACAAAAGTATCTTTCCTATTTCCAGGAGAAGCCAACAAACTCATCACCGACTACAAGTATAAGCTCCAGAAAGCGGAACAGGAAATCGCCAACCTGCAGGCAAGTCTAGCTCGATCCGAGACGCAGGTCATCCGGTACAAGAGTACAGCTGAAGCGGCGGAGAAGGCAGAAAGTGACCTGAAAATCGAAAGGAGAAAGCTCCAACGAGAGGTAAGCCGTATGCCCTGCTTTGTTTTTTTTTGCAATTTTGTAGCCTTCTAAAATAGCACAGTTAAATATACCCCTCAGTGGTGCATATTTCTATCGAATTATATATCTCTGTACCCTTGTTTAACGAGCAGCCAATTATCACCCAGTTCTGGGACGAATGCCACTGCCAGTAACGATGACAGCAACTTTAGACGACAATTCTTGCTAGCAAATACGATGAAAATGACAACAACGACGACAACGAGTGCGCACGGCACGTGTATTGCTTCACCGGAGTGCGCAATTGATTAATTGGACTGAAATTAAAATTATGTTCTCTGCAACTACCGACTGGTTAAGTGCTGCCAATTGCCTACCTGGTAGCTCGCCGTGGTATCAATTGGCTATTCTGTTTTCCCACCTCAACTGCCACCAACCAGCACAGCACGCCCATCCGAGTATGGAACTGCTACGACTCAATGAACCCTTAATCAGTAAGCAATATGCGGGAGTTCTGTGTGTGTTGCAATTTATGGCTTCTGCTTCATCGTAGCGATCCGACCTATGGAGTGATCAGCGATCGTTTGTTTGTTGAGATTTTCCGTGTTGTTTTAATCGGTTGACTTTTGTGTTGTGTCTTTCGACTATATAATGCCCCTTGCTCGTTGATTCCCTGTTGAATTGGTACCTACGATTCGCCTAAAATGCGCGGGAGCTGAATGATAAATAACACTAGCTACCCTGCATTGAGTGGGTGTAGCTGCTATGATCGCGACTATATTCAATTAGTTTTACTTTGGGTAGTGTGAATCAGTCCCCGAGATGAGAGTGCCGTCGATGGCACGGAATGAGGTCAAATCGAGGCGATACATAATGCAGTTTAAATTTTGCAGAAGGCGTTCAATTTGGAACTGTTTTCTGTTTGCGTTTGAAATTTATAAATCAATCCATTAGTTCATACTTCAAACAAAACCTTAAACAACATCACAGCTAACCCTGCGTTTATTTGAGTGCGAGTGTTGTGTGGATATAAATAGTTAATACATATACAGTGTTTTCGCTGCACCATAACTAATCAATTCATTAGGACATTTCCCCGAATGGTTCGTCCATTTATGAACACAGCACTGTTTATCATATATTTATAAATCTATAACGTTAGTTACCGGAAGTTGAAAAAATCTGGGGGGTTGCACTTCTTTTTCATACGGAGTAAATTTCGCCATACTCATTAGAAATTTGTATCCTCTTTCCAGGTGTTTGAAGGCAGAAAAAAGCGTGCAGTCAGAAGGGGGTTGTAAGGGTAAATTTGAGAAATTTAAAGCACTCCAGTATAATCTGAAAGAGAGTTAAAATGAAACCCTGGGTTTTGGCCACAGTGAAATGTGTTTAAAACAAGCTTTTACAGGATTTTGTAATACTCTTACTTGAATTTACGTGGGCGTAAACACGTAAACATACAATCGTGTGTAAAAGTCATTTCAAGTATGTTTTTACTAAAGCAATCTCTTTTGGGTTGGAAAGTTATAACCGGTTTTCGTAATAAATTTGCATTTTTCGAAGCAGGAAGATAACTTGATCGCAACTTATTAAGGGAAAATACTTTGAATTTGTGCAATAAAATGGCTAATATAGGTACGTACTTCCGAAACATTAGCCAGTCAGCAGATAAGGTGAATGATTTTATGATGATGATGATGGTCCCACCTCTTACCCCTACAAAGGTTTGAGCTGGACGATTTATCTTTAAGATAATTAAATATGACATTTTAACCAGGTTGGCAAACAAAATCGAACTGGTTTCAGTTACAGATATAAATTCCCTCTAGAGTTTACAGTTGCTTCACAGCGATATAAATGTTGAAAAGCTCAGGCGTCCACCTCTTAGTTCGCCTTTTTGTCCACCTAAAATATTCATAAGTATTACAAGCAATCAAGAGTTAATGAACAATCAACAAAGCATCCTATTACACTAGTAACCCCGCAATCTGATGCTATCATAATTTTCAGCAATGTCAGGAATGCTCACGAACCCCCAACATTTGCCAGAAAACTTACTACTAACTCAAGGTATCTTCCAAATAAGCTTCAAAATTGCATTTTTTTTTTATCAAATGTTAAATTCAGTCCTCTATATCCGTAATACGCGCGCGAGGCTCAAACCTTTGTAGACTACTATTTTTTTTTTTACTACTACTATTAAATCATATATCAAAAATCCATCATCACCATCGTGGCGAACAAAATAGTTTTTGCAGTGCTACAATAATTATTAAAAAGTCGTTATAACAGCTATCCATACAAAGTAATCCGTTAAAAATAACTTCGTCAAGATACATAATTTGTCAATTCATAAAAAAAAAAAAATCACTGGATAACCGTTCAAAAGACAGTTTTAACGTGTGAAATGCAATGTCTCTTAAATTCTGCTAATGTTGTTGAACGTTTAATGTGTCTAGGCATCGAATTGAAAACATTTATTCCTTTAAAAAATAATGAATTCTGTGAAGCACAAGTCAAGAAATGTGGTGTTCTTATTTCATCCGCGTTTCTAGTATTATATCTATGAAAGTCACTTCCTCTTTCAATTCGATCACACAAATATCGAGGCAGCAAACCGTTAACTACTTTAAAAATGAACACCATAGTCAAATATACAATTCTTTGCTTCACCGACAACCATTGTAAGGCGTCTAGCATCAAAGTTGAGGAAGTGAATCTATTACATCTCAAAATCAAACGCATTATTTTATTCTGCAAGCGCTGTAATCTCGATATTTGTGTTGCATTAGACAGAAATAAAATGGATGGGCAAAAGTCTAGATGAGGAGAGATGATTGATTTGTATAGCTGTATTTTACTGGCAATAGTTAAATCGTTTTTCAATCGACATAGAATTCCATACTTCTTGGCAATTTTCTTGATGACATTGTCAATGTGAGAGTTGAACTTAAGTTTGTCATCAATAATCACGCCAAGATATTTAATCTCCTGAACGCGATCAATAGTCTCATCATCAATTACAACAGAGACGTTCTCATTTAATCGATTCCGCGAAATTACCATAAATTTAGTTTTACTTGTATTCAATTTTAACTGCTTACACTTCAACCATCTACTTAGATACTGCAAATCTTCATTCAAGTGTGAGACGGCAACTTCTAAATCTTTAGCTGCAATGAATAACACAGTATCATCTGCAAAAAGGTTAATGTCGCAAAACCGTAAAACACGTCGCAAGTCATTAATATACATAATAAATAAAAGGGGCCCTAATACACTTCCCTGGGGCACTCCAAGGTTGTTCCCCACGGGACTGGAAACAGAATCATTAAAAACAGTCCGTTGAGTTCTGTCAGACAAATAGCTTTCAAACCATTTATATGCAGTACTCGTAATTCCAAAGCGCTTGATTGTACTTAACAGTAAGGGCCTAGAAATTGTTTCAAAAGCGCGTTTCAGATCCAAAAAAACAGCAACAATCGTATCTTTACGCTCCAAGTTGTCTTTCCACTTTGCTAACACCAAATTCAATGCAGTTTCACAAGAATGACCTTCCCGATATTCCGATTGTTCTGGTATCAACAAAGAGTTGCTATTCAAATACTCCAACAGCTGGCCTTTAACAACAAGTTCTAAGATTTTCTCTAATGTGTGCAACATGTTGATGGGACGAAACTCTTCGGCTTTAATCGTTCCAGCAACTTTTTGAATAGGAATCACTAAGGATTCCTTCCAAATTTGTGGCACATGTCCATTCTGCAATGATTCATTAATAAGGTCCAGAAAGATGTGGCCAATGACATGAAAGCAATCTTGAATAACTCTAGCATTAACATTATCTACTCCAGCTGATTTTCCTAATGAAAAACAAATAACTCTAAGTTCATCTAATGTAATTGGGTGAAAAACTTCAAATCTGCAACTACTATTAACTGGCTGTTTTATTTCGTCAGGTTCGTCGACCAATTCAATAGATTGATTAATCAATGAAACACTGTCTACGAAATAATCATTAAACTTAGATGCAATTACTTGTTCTGACTGTTCTAATGTGCCATTAAAAGTTATGGACCGCGGTTTGCAATTACTAGGTTTTAATAAAGATTTCAAAATTTTCCATAACTCTTTGCTGTTGTTTTGATGCTGATCAATCTTCCTTTGAACATATTCACAACGAGTTTTCTTTATCGATTGTGAATACTTATTACGCGCGATTGTGTACCTAGTCCAATGATTGTCATTATTAGATCTACAAAACTTTTTGTACCATTTGTCCCTTTTCCGTTTAAGACGCAAAAGATCCAAATTGTACCAGCTGTTCGAGTTTTTCAAAGAAACAAACTTTTGCTCAACTAGTTGATTGGTACACGTTTTCAAAGCGTTATTAAGAACAGCTGTAGATTCATCTAAGTTACCGGCCGCGAATGGAAAATCCAGGCTTCTCTCAACAAGATTTGAAACAGCTTGCTTCGAATATTTCCTCCAGCACTTCAATTTTACAAAATTATCGTTATCGTTAACATGGTCTAAGACATTAATCACTAAAGTCTCATGATCGGTTATTTTCAAATCAGTATCCGTAACTGAACAAATGGAATCAAAATTGGAATAAACGTGGTCAATTAAAGTTCTACTGTGCCTGGAAATACGCGTATATTCATTTACCGTTTGCTTTAAATTAAAAAACTCAGCTAAACGCTTCAAATGATTCGAATTATGGTTATCACGCCAATTAATATTAAAATCACCAGCCAATATATTTAATTTACTAGAATCAAGGAATGTCTCGAGCCAGTTCTCTAAAACTTCAACAAAACGCTGGTCACTAGAACTGGGAGAATGATACAAAACACCATAATTACCCATCTTCATGCCACGTACAACTGTAATGCCCAAGAACCAGTTGCCATCAATAACTTCGTTGGTACGAAGGTTGAATTGAACTGATTCTTTGACATAAATAGCAACACCGCCAGTGTGTCTAGAATGTGATAAACAAGCAGCAACAATATATCCCG